GTCCTGCTTCTCCCGCAGAGTCGGCAGAGGAGAGTGTGGAAGACAAAGCCCAGCGCTGACTGGGCAGGGACTCCGAGCGCTCACTGTCGACGCGTGCCATGTCCAAAAGGAAGCAGAAGACCTCCAACCCGGAGGTTGAAGGTGAGAGCAAAGGATCTCTGCGTGCAGCTCCCTGCCGGGCAGAGGGGCACTGCGGGCTCTGCCTACTCTGTGCGACAGGGGAGGCGGGGGCAGGCAGGGGCTCCCCACACACCGCTGGGCATGGCCCCTCTGCCCCTCAGCCGGGTTGGCCTGTGCGTGCCTGCTGGGACCGTTGGGCCTACAGCGGCCCTTTCCCCCTCGCGTCGTCCAGCCCTGCCCCTCATCCTGCGTGGCAGACCCAGGGCAGGCCCCTGGCAACAGGCCTCAGGGACGCTTGGCACTCACTCCTGCTTCTCTTTGCTCTCTCCTCTTCAGTATGCATGCTGTGTCGCCGAGCAGATGTTCACCCGGACGCCTGCGGGCCCATGCTTGGTGAGAGCGGGCTTTGCGTCCACAAGTTTTGCTTGGTGAGTTCTCTCAGGGCTCCTTCCGCCCTCCAGCCGGGGACGCTCCCTCTTTTCCATCCTGTCCTCATGACATCCTGCTCTTTTCTCTGCTACAGTTTTTTGCTGACGGCCTTTACGAACACACTGCCGGACAGAGGGCGGTTCTGCAGATCCCCCTTGATGCCATCAGATGCGCAATCGAGGAGGCAGAGCAGAAGGTGAGGATCTCAAGGAACGGGGATGTTTGTGCCAGCACCAGCTAAGCCTGGAGCCTAAGCAAGCAATGGCACTCTTTCCACCTAGCACCAGGACACAGTTCTTGATTAAACGAAGATCAAACTTGTCTGCTGGCGCGTCTGCAGAGCGTGACCCAGCGATGCCTGCATTCTGTGCCCTGCCTGGAGGCGTGGTGTTGGCCTCAGAGGCCCTGAGCCTGCTGCTAATGGGGGCTGCTCTTCTCCTTCCAGCACTGCTTCGTTTGTGGAGACAAGGGGGCCTCCATCTACTGCGCAGAGACAGGCTGTGAACGCAGCTTTCATCTGCCCTGTGCCACGGATGGGGAATGTGTCACGCAGTTCTTTGGGCAGCACAGGTAAGGGCTGTCAGCAGCAGCCAACCAAGGGAGGAACCTGCACGGCTGCTTCCCAGTGCTGAAGCATGCAGCAAACTCCTTTGTGTTCCTCTGCTGACATCGCAGCACTTCTCGGCTCACCCATCCTGTCCATCTTCCCCCAGGTCCTTCTGCTGTGAGCACCGCCCTCAGCAGGCCGTGGAGGCAGCTCCAGAGCAAGACACAAACTGCGTCATCTGCCTGGAGCCCGTGGGGGACAAAAAGTCCTACCACACCATGGTGTGCCCGGTGTGCACACAGGCCTGGTTTCACCGGAGCTGCATCCAGGTAGGAGCCCTCCCTGCCCTTGCTCTGCAGTCACAGCAGGTGCTCAGCTGCACCAGGCCCCGCTCACACTCTGGCTGCTTGTGTTACCGCTGCAGGGACAGGCCATGAGCGCTGGCATTCTGCACTTCCGATGTCCCGTCTGCAGAGACAGGATGCAATTCCGGAAAGAAATGCATCTCCTCGGGATCCAAATCCCAGCCAGGTTGGTGCCTTCTGCCCAGCTCTCCAGATACTGAGGCACAAGTGCTGTGCCTGCCCAGGGATTGCCCCCAGCACGCCCAGCTGACCCTCGGCTGTCCCACGAGCCTTGGCCGCAGCTTCATGGACAAGCTGGGAATGCGCTTGCGCTGGAAGAGCAGGGATGTCCCAGATCCGCTCTATGCCTGGGGTCCTGAGGACTCATTGCTTTCTCTCCTTTCTCTGGCAGAAGACCAACATGGGAGGACAAGGAGAGCTATGAAACTCTGCACAAGAAACACCAGCGCTGTGATGTTGGCGAGTGCCTTCACACAGAAGGCAGGGAGCAAGCAGAGAAACACGGGTGAGTTACCACAGCAGCCCTGCGTGGGATCTCAGCCTCCCCCCAGGCTGGGGAGCAAGGACTGAGCTCAAGAGCTGCTCCCGCCACTCCCTGCTTGACTCATTTTGTGCACACAACTACAACCTCTTTTTTTTTTTCCCCAGGCCCTGGGAGCTGCTCCTGTGCACCTCGTGTGCTGCGCAAGGCACCCACCGGCTCTGCTCTAATTTGAGCAACAGCCTGAGCAGCTGGGAGTGTGACAGCTGTGCTGGCGTGGGCACAGGTAAGAGGCAAAGAGCCGTGGACTGCTGCCTTGGGGCCAGGCAAGGCCTGGCACAGCCGCTCCTCAGTGAGTTTCTCTGCCCCGGGAGGGCTGGGTTCCTCTCCCTCCACGGGGCTGCCGGGTCATCCTGTTGACCTTCCTGCCTCTCCTTACAGCCTCCAGTGCTGAGTCGCAGCTTGCTGGTCCCAGCACTGCCAGCCAGGAGGCGCCGGGACCATCTCATAGCTCCCCAGCACCTGATGACCACAGATCTGCCTCTACCAGCCAGGCAGCATTGGAGTCATCTCCGAGTTCCCAGCTGCCTAAGCGCAGCAGCCTGTCCAGCCAGCCCAAGACAGGACAGAGGAAAAGCC